TGAAATGGTGGACTTTCTTGGCTACTGACATAGATCGCCATATGCTTGGGGTGTTGTTTGGTACGTTGCCGCCGGGGAAGGCGAGCGATGTGTCATCTAAAGGATGCGCCCTTGGCTGATTAAGGACAAAACGGAGAATATTCAGTTACCTGAGAAAACCACGACGAGCTCTGGAATCAACGCGCAAGTTCCGATTGTGGGGTTGACACTCACAGCATTCAGGACCATGTTTCTCGCTACAGAGTATCTCTCCGGTATGGACAGCGAGCTGTCACCGACGGCAAGGCACGGAAAATGCAGCCAGGAACGTCTTCGCTGGAATAATTCACGACTCGAAGACGATACAACCTTCACGGATAACATTTGATACAAGAGGCTAGAATCTGATCCTGACCGGTTCGTATATCACGGCGGTCACCGTGACATATCTCGTTTGAGCGGTGCTGTCGCAGCTTCACCCGAACCGTAAATAGAGGGAGTTAGCAGTCTCAAGGCGGCTTCGACGACGCTCCACTGGGAGAGCTACACTTGCTGGAGGATTGAGACTGTATTGAGCGGCTCCGGTCGGTCTCCCTCGCACTCTTCCTGAAATGGGAGCGGCGATGTCAGGTGCCTACACCCCACAGGGTATCACGGTGAGCACTAGACGTATAGAATCCGTCGCAACTCACAACAAAATTCCCTATCCCTACCCAAATCCCGAACTGTCAACCCCAAAGGCTGGGTTTCGGGTGTTGAACCTGTTTCAAACCGAGCCAGCCATCGGCTTCTGCCCGTTCGGGACTGGCCCGGGAACTTGTCTCAGGATTCATTTGACTTGAATGGAGCTGCGACTGCCTGCAGTGGAGGTTTCCCGTGATGCAAGGCGTAAGATTTGCTCCTAAGGCTCGTACTTGGGGGACCATGAAGCCAGTGAGCTACTTCTTGATCACCTCAGTAGAGCACCAGTGGGAAACTCTGCCGGCCTGAGCGTCGACCTTTGACTCGACAGCTTGAGAGCATTTCCTGTAAAATATAATGCTGGAATCGAATGACAAGCCGAAGGTTTTTGCCGAGGTCTGACGCGATCCGCACCTCCAAGCGCACTAAATACGAATAGTCTGCAGGGATTGATCAAAACGAGCTATAATGCCTGTCAGTTCCTGCCGGCCGAGAGAATTTTCGGCCGGCGGCATACCCTCGCAAAGCATAGATAGGCTGAGCATGGTCTGGTGCTCGTACATCCGTGCTCAAAGCCAATAAATAGTATGCAAGGAATAGACACGCAGAAGCTGTCGCAATCGGGATTTGAATTGGGCCAGATCTGCATGCACTGCTCGTCTTCGAAATGAAATGACAGGCACTAAAATGCCCGCCATCCATTGAGGCGTCTACTAGGTACCTGAAATGGGAATCGGGCGATGCACGCCACAAGCCACGTTGGAACTCCACTCGCGGAATATTCCTCCGGAATGGACGTACATCTCGTGAACGTGGAGTCCATAGCCGTCGGAGTGGCTTCTCGGTTTGTGCCGGATCATCAGTTTCAATAGGCTTATCCTGTGCTCTCTTCAGGTCTTTCAAGGGTGAACCATGAACTGGAGATGAAGCTGTCCTTATGCACCACAGAGTGGCATCAAAGTCGGGATTCGCTTTTCCCGATCGGGCTTTGCGTTTTTCCCAATCACGGGAAGGAAACCCCCCACGTATGCCACTGCGGTCTGATTGGAATTTTTCCTCAGCTGGACTTATCAACAACCCTGAAGGGCCGTGTAATAATGAGTCGATGTTGTGGCAGCAATGTCTACCACGACAGCAGATGTGCCCGATAATCCCCCGTCTCGTAGGCCTCCGGTCAGAGTCGCCTGCCTTTCCTGGTGTGTATACCTCTGGACTTGAGAGCTGTTTCGAATTCGCAGAATCTGACAGAATTCCCTTCTACAGCCGTGCATCCCGGATTCGCTGTGATGGCCAAACTGCTTGCTCAAACTGCATCGCGAAAGGCCACACATGCGTCTACATTCCTAGCAGACGGGGAGGACCACGGTATAGCAGAAAATTGGCCAACGCTAGCGACTCATTTGATGGAAAGGGCGGATCTGGAGGAGATCTGGAAGAACGAACCTCATCGAACTCTGATGGAGATGGTATGATTGGTGTGTACGCCGGTTCTGGGATAACATATTAACAGTTCTCCTTGTCTGTAGAGTGGTTGAGCCATTTAGTAGGCATGAGTGGACCGGGGGCCGGACTGCGCAGTATCGACACGCCAATGGAGGAGATTGAATCCATCTTTGACTCTGTGTTTGCTCCTATTCCAGGAGAAGCAACACATGAGCTGGATCCCTCTTTGGTGTCAGACCTAGTCCAACTGTATGGGAGTGATGAGGATATGTAAGACCCTAGCAGTAACAACGCACGACATCCGTGGCTGATCATCAGAGCAGACTAGATGCCTACTACGTCTTCATCCATCCTTATCACCCCATTCTACCTCCACCCGAACGTTTGCCCGTATATAACCGCCCCTTGTCTCAGTGGCCAGAGTGTCGGCCATCAAGCCCGCTCAGTCTAGCTATCTCTGCCCTCCTGGTACTCATTCCACACCCGAATGAGTCAGATCCATTGAGAGCAGAGTATGTGAAGCTTCGCAGGGGTTTTGCGCAATCTTTTGCTCGAGATGCCCTGAACGCTGTAGAGCTTGATTCCAGTCTGCTGAACCCATCGAATAATGTGCTCAATGCGGATAGAGCACTGTTTCATCCTAAGGTGCCTTTGCATGTAGAAGGGATTCTGGCTCTGAATCTTCTGAGCGTCTATGAGTACGCACAGCGAGGGAATCTATGCACAATGAACGATCGAGCAAATGAGGCGCTGACATCAGCGATGAAATTGTCGTTGCATGAGTCTCTTGAAGAGGATGAATACGCGGAGGCCCGGCGGAGGACCTGGTGGATGACGGTTGGTTGTTGTCAGCACTCTGGTGTCTTCTTTGACAAATCAGCTGACAGATTCTTGTTACAAACAGTACATGGTGGCGTGTCAAGCAGCGATTGTGACCGGCATGGTAGGTTACTGATCACTGCGGTGTTTGTTGACGAGACTAAAAATCGTTAGCCTGCAACATTCGACCCGTTTGACCCTCATTTTGTGACACCGCTTCCCGAGGTATGTGTTCGATCTTCGAAATAAGGTATTGCTGTACTCATTTTGCGCAAAGGGATGGAAGGTTCCTGTCGAGGCGCAGCAGACGCTCCTTGAGACAGTCGCGTTCATAACTCACCTCGAGCAAATGAAGGCTACCGGTCAAAGTGACTCTGGGATACGGGAGCGAATGTTGGGTCTTGATTCTCAGATTGGATCATTGCTGTTTCTATGCAGAGACACGCGGTCTGCCCCCAAGATCGTACCAACTCGAATGGAATCTCCAGAGGTCGCGGCCTCCCAGATCATGATCGCTATTGCAGAAATTCGATTGCACACGTGAGCACACTGTTCACAACATCAACACAGAAATGATTACTGACATCTCATGACTAGAGCCAGAATTAAGGCTCACAGACTTTGTGCTTTCCAAGATATTCCCAGTTTCCATCAACGACAGTACGAATTCGGACCATCTCCCACCGTATCTGAATCTGAGACCCAGCCCGAGTCTCCTTCTGCCAGTGGAGCAGAAACCACCCAGCCTTCAACTCCTTCATCAAGCTCACCTCTGCATTTCATTTTCTCCTCACACGAATCCTCAAAAATCTGCTTCCACGGCGCCCTTAACATCGTCACCTTACTGAACAACCTTCCTTTTCCTAACCCGACCAACGAGATCCCACTCAACAGCCCACCATATCTCTCCCAGACAACCCGCGTCGAGATTCCACGAAGCATACTCACATTTGCCTGCTGTGGAATGCAATCCGGCTATGTGATGTTGATGCTTTGTCTGAAGGCACGCGCTTTGCGCGATCGCCGCATGGAGGCGTCCAATTTCGCAAACACCCCTTCTCTGACTGCTCTTTTGAACGAGCTGCATCAAAACTTACGGCTGCTTGTCAAGTGTTTGAATAACTGCGCAATCGCATTTGAGGCGCTTTCTGGAATGAGAGGTACCTCCATTCTGAGATTACCGTTGATTTCGTTGGCTGAACTGACAGAACTCTCGTCGGACAGACCGAATAGCTCACGCGATGGAGCAAGAACTCCAGAGGTAGCCTCATCATTCGGCTTGCTATTTACTCGATTTACGGTTGCGCATTAGGTCGATGGCCAGTGCAACTGGTACACATACGTTATTGGACCCAGAAGCCTCGGGCAGATGCTGGCCTATGCAGCCAAGGACATGAATACGACTGAATAGGATACTCTGACGCATAGTGCTTATCGAGGCCTTCGTCTCTATTGATCTTCATGATGGCTTCCGTTCTTGACATCACCGACGGAAAGCGTACTTCTCAGTTCGAGACGCGAAACTTTATGATCTGCGGTGACACAACAGTTGTCCTCTGATCAGTCGGGACGGCAACAGATAGACCTACGCCTGACTATGCATTGAAATTGCTTAGTGTACATACTTTCACTATGCTCTGGCATTTCAAGCCTGCAAATAATGATTGTCAAAGAGAATCACTTTTCTCTCCTGAGCCTTTCTGCAAGTGTTTTCTTTGGATATATGCTCCAAACTTGTAAATAGGCGGGTGCTCCGCAATATCTTATACATTATGTGATTTGTTTGTTGATCAATGTGCTATAGATTATATCAGGAGTCTAGCAGTATGAAGCATGTGATCTAGGTGCTTGATCCAGTACAGGAGGGCAAGGCTCAGGTCGGGCAGAAACACAAGATCGACACTACCGAAACCTCCATCCACACCCTTCTAAAGCTACACCTATTTCACAATGAAAGAATGGTGCAGTCTCCCGACGTGCAATCTACTGCAGAATGATAGTTACAGATTGCAAAAGGGAAAGGGCTAACAAATCTACGAGGCAAAGGGTATCTTGGATTCCACAACCTCAAAGTAAACTCATTTGCATCGCAATCCCAGCTCCTGATACATAGAGATCAACCGCTGTCTAACCGTCTTCGCCAGTGGCCACGACTTCCCTAGCACATGCAGCGCGCCCACTCCAAGCTGGATTCTCGCCTTAATCGACTCCTGTTTCTCTGGAATGGAGACAACCAAGCACGCAACTGTGTGCACTACCACACACATGGCAAGCGCGCAGGTGAAGAACGGGGTGCGATATTTGACCGGATTCGGCAGGGTGGCTAGGTTGCACAGCAGATCTGCTGCTCGCAGGAGTTTTTGCGAATGAAGGTCCAGGGAGGCGGAGGGGGGAGTGGTCTCGCGGGTTGTTGGGAGGCGGGTGCAGGAGGTATGGGCGTGGATGGAGGCATACCGCATGTTTGATCGAGGGTGGTGGAGGTAGATCAGTGCCCTGGGTAGGGTCAGTTTGTTAGCGGGAACGCAAGAGGCTTATATAGTTGCTGCACGCACAGGTAGCTCGTCATTTGAGCTTGGAAGGTCATTTCATCTAGGCCGGAATGGCTGCCGTACACATCCCGCTGGGATGATGGCAGTTGCATCAAAGAGGCCACCAGCACAGCGTCGATGGTCTCGATTTGAGTATCCAGGTCGATATCCAGAGATCGGTTTAATTCCATGACCATGCCGAGGGCGCGCACGGCCTGGATCCTGTATGCGGATGATGGAAACCGCCTTTCGTCGTCAAAGTGCCACTTGTTGGTCAGATCTTTGAACGTCAGATCGCTCAGTATCACCTAGCAGGTATCAGCGGGGCGCGCCCAGAAGGAAACTTAAACGACGTACCGCGTCCCCGGAGTTATAAAGCTCTTCGTCACAAGGCAACCTCGCGTCTGCAGGGCTATGGAACAGTTGGAACGCGCTCTGATCACGCATTGCAGCCAAGAATCCGTCCACAAAGTACAGTTCCCAGTAAGTTCGGCGCCAACTCTCCTCCAGTATAGAATTTCCGCCGGAGTGTTCGGCCGCGAATGCGGCTTTGTTCATACCCAGTTCCAAGGCCAGGTTAACGGCAGCCTGCATAATACGGGTTGCACTGTCTTCGGCGCCACGTGCATGGTCAACAATGGCGAGAAGGACCATTCCCTGGACCTTGAATCCGTCACGAGGCGTCGAGTCGGACAACACGGAATAGGCAGATTGGCGGAAGAGCTCTTTGAGGGACGGATCATGGTGCTGGTGAGCGCCAATGAAGCGCATGATTGAGAGGATGTATTGCGGTATCTTCGCGGCTAAGTGAGAGTGCAGTGCTTTCCTTGGAATCAGGAGCGGATGCGAGCGGTGGAAAGTCTGGTAATACAGCTGGATCAGGGGATCATATGCAACTTCTGGTGTTACAGCGTTCTCTAGCTCAGGCCACGCAAGTGCATCCTCTGGCAAACCTGAGATATCTAACGACTGGCGAGCGTCGAGTTGTGGTTGGAAGAGTGCTTGACCTATCTGGTTCTGTCAGTGACTCTCCGCGTATACAGCCTCGTTCTGAAGAAGGTCCATACATCTACAAGATCTGAGGTAAGATTTGTCCCACTGAGCCATTCTGAGAAATCGTCTGGATCGACTGCAGAGAAAAGGGAGGCATTATCATCCAGCAGCTGCTGGGAAGGATTGCCGTTCTTCGTTCGCCCGCGTCTGGACTGAATATAGCGACATTCCGTACTGGAAGCCTGGCAGCGGCTACATACTGGCATCTGGGCGTCACATTTTAGATGACGGCGACGACAGGTCATACACGCCAGCGATGACGGCCGCCGGGGAGGCCTGGACGATGTGGAATCTTGCTGCATGGTTATGGTTATACTCGATGGCTCTGTGCCATTATTGAAGTAGATACCCGAGATTTACAGTGGCTCGAAGTGGCCAAGTTCGCTTTTTACAATAACTATCTAAACATCAGCGAGGTCAACTTGTTGATTCTCCTGCAAGTCAGAAATTGGATCGATCCCCGACGCTCGATAGAGCACAATAATAGTGATATGTGAAGCCCAGCCGGAGGCCGAGATCCCCGAATCGGCGACCACAGTTTATGTATGTCTCAGGGACAGCTATACCTCCGATCAACCTCCACATGTGCCCCCAAATAAAGAAATTCACTCGACTACGTATTCCGAATGTAATAATCTCTGAAACAAGACCGATATCTGATTTCCCCTAACCTTGGATTCCTGTGATGATACGAGTACCATGGGGACCTGAGGTATAGCTATCGGGGACTTATGGAACCCGAAGACCACCTCAGCTGGCTCACATTATTTGCCCGGCATCCTCCTCAGATGCAGTCATCGATGCATCCTCATAGTCCAGTAGTTGAATAGGTACGTCTTATCTTCTCCTTCCTGAATTTACTTCGTAGCGTCTCTTCTAACTATGCTTTTTGCTCATTTCTGTGCGGCTACTGTGGTCTGCGCACAGGAGCTCTGCAATTGCCAGAAGTGGGAGGACACAGTTGGATCTTATAGAAACTTTTGAACTGTGGACAGAGGAGACTGAAGCACTTTTGATGACTCCAGGTAAATGCTGGAAACCAGAGACCATTGCCGACGCCAGCGGGATGGAGCGACTCACCCGCAAACCATTGCTGCCTGCGTGGACGGGGCTGCTAACTGGCGGATAGGGTCTCTGGCAGGCTCTTCGCCGATGCGGAATCCATGCAATCAAGTGAGAACGACACTATGGATGAAAAACAGCTGTCCTTAAAGGGATGAAAGTTCCCCGACTAAAGCTATTGAAAGCGACTCGGCGGGTCTGGCCGGCAGATCGGGGTATGGGGCGTTCCTCGAATGAGGCTGTAGGCTGTAGCAAAGAGTACTCCGCATGAGTCCATGGCGCAATGTTCTGGTCTGCGTGGGCAATTAGTGGACTTTCCTCCATAGAGTAGCAACTAAGACCATTGCGACGTAGGGAGTAGACTACAAGTGACTTCTAGACGGCGACTAGTCGGCGACCAGAGCCAGGCACAAACCTACCCACAATGCAACTTCGGAGTTCAGCCACGAAAGCATAACACTTAAATAATCTAGATGCTCATCTAAAACGGAATTATGATTACTATGATTCCTCTGGTCCCCACATGCCCCATACCTCATTTAGCTTGCGGATCACTTGACAGTTTCGAAGGAGTTCCCGAAAAGGTCCCCGAGAGCCAAGGACTGTATGCACCGGGGAAAATGTCTCCCGCCAAGACATGAAAGCAGCCCTGTGGCATGATCGCATTGGCAGATCCTTCTTGACAAGGTATCAGTTCAGACGATCGGCTACAATGGCAAATTAGCAGGATGATCGCGTTTTGAAGCTTGGTCAAGGGCTCCATCTGACCGGTTAGTGAACACCGCTGATCGAATTGGCTGGAGGCTTATGGAAAGCTCCAAGTGTCAATCTCGCCAAAGGAGGTATCATATGGATTCTCCTGCTGCTTCGGCATTTTCTTTTGCTTTGCAACAAGCCTAGGTGGCATTCGCATTGATCTGATCAACCAAGCCTGAAGCTATGTACTTCTCGAAGACTGACACAGTTCAACAAAACGGCCAGTGACTAGCTCAGAATACACCAGGCATGAAATCAACCACCTGCGCCTTCTCAATCACCCCATCCAGACTCTTCACAAACGCCTGATGCGCCGGGTCCGTCCGCACATAGTACTCCCGATCGGCCTCGTTCTCGAACTCAACCACAAAGACATGCGTGATTCCGTTCTTCGCCCATCAGTAAGACCACCTAAACACGTTGCACGGAATACATACCTGCAATCCCTCGATCGAGTTGTCCTTACCCCCAGCGGAAGCCTTGATGTACGGTTTCTGCGTCGTGGGGTGAATGCAATTCTCCCTGAGATTGAGCATGCGGGTACATGTCTGCATGGGTCAGTATCTGCGCTGGAATTGGGAATGGTTCAGGACATACGTCTTTGATGACGTCTGGGCTGGTGGTAGGTTTAAATTGGAACTGGACGACGTGGACGATGGCCATCTTGGTTCGGTGTATCGTCTTAAGTTGCTTGACTGTGATATCAGCACTGAAAAGTGGTCGAGTGCAGATAGTTGAGGCTGGAAGATGACGAAAGTGGGGTGAGTTATTTCTGAGTGGGGTAACCGGCTCTGCTAGAGAACATTCGGCTAGGGATTTCTTCATCATCATACCACGCACCGTGGGTCTTTTGAGCCCTACATCCAGGCTGACTTGAGAAAGATATGGTCCATCTCCTGGTGCCAGGGAGTACTAGAGCAAAGGGAGATTCTGGGGTGACGAAATACATAGCAGAAGAAATGGTCGGAACAAGATCAAGGCCCACCGACGCGGTATCGGTAAACATGTGTCATGGTGGACTCCCAATCAAAGTCATAATGACCCTGGTTTAACGTCTGGTGAACGGACTGGTGCGATCGGTATGGTATCCTCAGGGGAGGTGCCTCCCTCAACGACACTGGTCTCACTGCATTGCTGGATATCCTACTGGAGCGATGCGAGAGTTTCTACTCTGACAGAGAGCGCAGTATAGCTGGCTACCTACGCTAAGTCTTCGAGACAGGTCTATCCTTGGACTAGGGACATTCTATGCATACTGTAGAAAAATGATACTGAGGAATATAGGCCAAAGATTCGACAGCCACGAAGCTTCTGGGATCCAAGTTTAGATTCGAAGAGACAACAATAACAAATCTTATCAAACACAGCACATGGCTTTCTATCATTCATTTGAACTCCGGTGCGACAAGAGAAACGATGATATTGAGGTTTCGAAAGATGGAGAAGACGGAAGACACTTGATGATATCCCCGGGTGTTCCAATTGTTTATTGGCTGTGGGATGGGTCTTTAGACGGGTTGTTAGTGCTCTTTTTCTTTTCTGGAGTCAAATCTACCAAGCTACAATGTCAGCTATTCCCTCGTCGTCGTTCACTTCGCAGAGCGCTATTCACTGGTGATTCAGAAGTTATATTTTGTCTTCGCTGTCTAGCCAACACTGTAGACACAGGTGGAAGAAAGTAATTAAGGGCATAGCAGCCGAAGGAGGACTATTGACAGTAGCACATAACCCAAAACTCTAGTTCGTCAGTATGCAATTTTTATATAGAAGAAACGTTCAGGGTCATATCAGTGCATAAGCTCCCAACCCTAGGCAATTATCTTGCTGATGCCGATTGCTTCCTGGACATTCACCTTTATATAGCCTGTATTTGCTTTTCGGATCCGATTGGTGCATAAACTGAACCTTTAATATGATGTCCCTGCGGGGTATGTTGTTACCCCAGATTATCGGGATCGTTTAACCCGAGGATGTATAAAGATTTGAGCATCCTCATAGAATATGCCTAATGTCTTCTGTAGGGTACACCTTGACCAACAATGGCGAGAAAAGGACTTTTATTCTTGCTCTTTGTGCCACAGCTCGCTCTAGGACACATTGACCGGTGGGCTCAGGTTGGTTCCAATCTTATAAAAGCTCGCTGACGATAGCAGACAGCATGTAGTTTCCAAGTATAATGTGGTTCGCACGAATCTAATCGATAATGAAACGACTCCTCTCCAGGTCGGCAATGGAAACTTTGCCTTTAATGTCGATAACACGGGCATGCAGGTATGTCCTTACTTCCTTTAGTTCTAGACAATGACTTAATGTGCTGCAGTCTTTCCTTCCATTCAATACTCTGTCAAGCTGGGCCTGGCACAATGATTCATTGCCAACAAATGGGTACGCTCTTCGAGAGAAATAAGAGATTGCCGTCTAATATAGGATAGCGAGAAAATTGAGGACTATCACGGTGTGGCGATGTTGACCCACGGCCGAAACGTCTCCTATGACATCCCGGACCCCCGTCTGCCACAAACATCGCAATGGCTTATTTCCAACCCGAACCGAATCAACTTGGGACGAATTGGGCTTCAGTACAAGGGCGAGTTCCTCACAGAATCAGAGATTAATGATCCGCGTCAAGAACTAGATCTGTGGAGCGGCGTTATCACCTCAACTTTCAAAGTCGACGGTCAACTGGTGAAAGTGGTGACGCAGGGCGATTTCGAGTCTGACACGGCTGTTTTTGAGGTCCAGTCAGATATCCTCTCTTCTGGGGATTTAACTGTTGGATTGGACTTTCCTTATCCTCCGATTCACTCAACAAAGTACAAATATGAAATGTTTGTCGGCAGTTACGATTTCCCGCAGAACCATACCACGTCGATTGTTGGAAACACAAAGGACCGGGCACATATTACCCATCAACTGCAAGAGACAACCTACTTTCTTAATCTACGATGGCCTGCTTCTTCTTTGCAATTGTTTCGCGTGAGCAACGCGACTCACCGCTATACTCTTGCGCCTTCCTCCTCGTCTACCCTGAAATTCACTGCCAATTTTGCGCCGGACAAGCAGGTGCCAGGCTCCCCAACAGCTATCCAGCGCCAAAATCCCATCGACTGGAAGAAATACTGGACTCGTGGAGGGTTCGTCGATCTTACCGCATCGTCCAACCCTAAAGCGAATGAACTTCAGCGTCGTATCATCCTGTCGCTATACCATGTACGGGTTAACAGTGCGGCTAAAGGACAGCCACCTCAGGAAAGTGGACTGATGAATAATGGGTGGTATGGTATGTTACTTGCAATGATTTCCAATATGGAACTGCCACTTACAGCTGTCTACAGGCAAATTCCATATGGAAATGGTAGTCTGGCACAATGCCCACTGGGCTACTTGGGGTCGGCAAGAACATTTTGATAATATCTTTCCAGCCTTGTACGAGAGCTTGTTGCCTTCGTCTCTTGCACGAGCCAAGGCTATGGGATGGGACGGAGCACGGTCAGTTCCGTCGTGCAAATTATCTAATGACTACTCACAAAGCACAGGTGGCCCAAAATGACTGATATTGAGAGTGGGATCAGCTCACCTGGTGGTATCAACGGCCTTCTCATGTGGCAGCAGGTCAGCCATCTTTTACGATATATTGAATTTATCTAACAGATCAGCCCCATCCTATGTACCTCGCGACACTGGCTTATCAAGCCTCATCAACACGCAAGACTCTTGAGCGATGGGATCAGATCTTGACAGCTACTGCGGACTATATGGCTTCTTATGCTTGGAAAAACGAGACTTCTGGTTACTATGATCTGGGACCGCCGTATGTTCATTTGCCCTTTGAGGACCTTGACTGATTTGAGACAGAGCATACGGCGTCACCGAAAATACTCCACCCACGCAGAGCCTGAATCTAGCATACGAGGTACGTTTACCGTCTATGCGCTCGGCAGTACTAATTTCTGCCAAGATTGCCTACTGGCGATACGGCCTAGATGTCGCCCGCTCATGGAAGAGAAAACTCCGCCAGCGAGTGCCCGATTCATGGACGACTGTTGCGGACAATCTCGCACCTCTGCCTCAAGTTGACGGTCTTTATGCCGTCTATCAAGGCCTGAATAGCTCTTGGTGGAATGATACATCTCTTACTAAGGATCCTCGCAGTTTGATTATGTTGCAGGGTATCCTCCCGGATACACCAGCAGTGGACGCTAAAGTTGCATTGGCAACCGCGAAGAAGGTCTGGGAAGTCTGGACAGATGACAAAATCAGAGGATGGGGGAGACCTGTGCTCGCCATCAACGCTGCTCGGGCTGGGAGCCCAGAAAGAGCTATAGGACATTTAACCGCCTATGACTATTGGATCTTCGATGATGCTGGTATGTATCCTGCTTCCGCCATAGTCCAAAGCTAACATTACCCGATAGGATTTGCGGTTCGTGGTGGTGACGGTAAGACTCTCCTTCCCTGTGATCTGTTAGTCCACTGACGAATGTTACGTATACAGGCGGCACTCCCCCTCCCTTTATGCCGGGGAACGCGGGATTCTTGTATGCCGTGGCGTATATGGCTGCTGGCTGGAACGGATCCCACGGCGACGCTCCGGGGTTCCCTTCTGATGGCAGCTGGGTAGTGAAACATGAAGGTCTACGCAAGGCACCATAGACACTGTAGTCAACCATCCTATCCCGGAGAAAGTGGCTACACCATCAAGAGCCTTCAATTTATCCAGCCAATAAAACATGCACCAGATATTACCACCCCGCAAACTGCCTGCCGTGAAGAATCGAACGCTCCATTCGGCACGTATCTAGTAAGATTCAAGCAATGATCGTCGTGATGAAGCCCTTCGTACCCCAGATTGTCTCATCTCTACCTTGCTCCTTCTGGCACGGAGCGGTAGAATAGAAAAATGAGCGGCTTTCGCACCGACATCCCGCCCCCATCTATATATTGGCATCATTGCCCTCCCAAATGAAGCACAATAACCATACCCAATAGACTCCGACGTAACAATCAAAGAAAATGCTCCTCGAACTAATCCTCCCGCTCCTCGCCGTCACCTCCTCCGCCCAACCCACCCCATCACCAACAACCACCACCCTCCCAACCCTCCAATCAGGCTGGTACTTCATTCGCGCCGTCGAAACCCCAGCCTACCACAGCTACCTGCAGACCATCCCCAGCGCCACCCCAGGACCAGCCTACCTCTCTTCCAACACCAATGCCGGCCAATTCAACATCATCTCCGGCCAGCTAGTCTACAACACCGGCGCAGGACAGCTATACATGAACGTCGAGGATCCCGCCGACAAGACGCAGCGCACCCTCCAGACGTGGTTCAACAAGACGCAGAACCAGTACGGCACGTTTGGGTTCCAGGGGGATGCGGTGACGTGGAGCGTGGGTGATATTGCGCGGCCGAATGTGGCGGCGTGGTATGTTTGTGGGGACCAGGGGAGGTTGTATATCAATACGGGGCCCTATGGGTATCAGACGCCGGAGGGGTGTTATGATGAGACGGTATGTTTGTGTTGTGGTGATGTTGTGGGATGTATACTGATGGTGCTATGCAGATTCATTCTTACGGGGGGTCGACGCCGACGGTTTGATGTGAAAGGTTTTATGGAAATCGCATACGTGTTGTCTGATGTTCATCGTTGGATTCGAGGAACGATTACATGCCGATGGCTTATCTTAAATCGGAATGTGATTTCGATTGCCTAATGATTGTAGCTATGAGCAATGAAAATTGAGAGCTACCTACAGCTATCTTCCATTGTATAACTAGTCATGACCACCAACTGGCTTAGGCACGTATGGCTCCTCCAAGAACCTCTCCTCGTCAGCCGTCAAGACTCCATTTTTCACTTGAATCATCTCGTCCATTCGCTCAACAGAGCTGAAGCCCACAATCGGACTGGCGACACGCTTGTTGACCCAAGATAAAGCCACCTGACCCATTGTCCAGCCCTTCTTCTTTGCCAATTCTTCCACTCTGGAGATAACCACCTCATCTGCTTGGGTCACTGCATTCGGGTCGGTGTTCTCCGAGCGAGCGGTCCCTCGAACTTGCGACAGCGGACGAGCAAGTTTACCACCGTCGAGAGGACCCCACTGTTGAGATATCTCATGAGTCAATGTTTTCATCAGAGTAAGTCATCGGGACTTACAGGAATCAGACCAACGCCTGTCTCATTACAGAAGCGATTCATCTCCCGCTCCTCCTCGCGGTAGAGAAGACTGTACTGATTCTGCATGGAGACAAACTTTGTCCACCCATGCTTCTCTGCGCAATGCTGCATCATGATGAACCGGTACGTCCTCATCGAGCTTGCGCCGATGTACCGCACCTTCCCGCTTCGGACGAGGTCATGGAGAGCTTCCATGGTCTCTTCGATGGGGGTGAGGGGATCAAAGCGGTGGATTTGAAAGAGATCAATGTAGTCCGTGCCCAGGCGCTTCAGCGAGGCGTTGACTGCGTTGAAGATGGCTTGGCGGGACAGACCTGAAGGGTCAGTATGGCATGTGATCAACGGAATCGAGTTACATACCGAATTGATTGACGTATTCCTTGTCCTGGCGCATGTCGTCGGCGAACGGGACTACATACCGGTTGTCGTGTTCACTGACAGGTGACCAGCATTTTGTAAGAATGAGAATTTTATGCCGAGGAAGATTGTAATGTTTGATGGCCTTGCCAATGATTTCTTCCGACTTGCCGTTGGAATAGTTGTTCGCGGTGTCCCACTGTTCAACTTAGTCACTGCTCATCGCATGGTGCGGGGACTTACTAACAGTGGTAAGTCCCCGGTCGTAGGCAGCTTTCAGCAAGGGTAGAGCCTGATGATGTGTCAGTCTATTTCATGATCAATTTGATTGTACATGGACTCACCTTCTCCTCGTCAAGAATCCACGAATCCTATTCCGGAGACCCAATGCTCATGCCACCGAGAATGGGCACGGAAACGCGCAGACCACTCTTCCCTAGCTGACGATAGGAGACTTTCGTTTGCTCCAGGGAAGCCTTTAGCAAGGGAGGAAGCTCAGCGGCCATTTTGAAGTCTTCTGCTTTGGTGCCTGTGTTTGCTTTCGCTGGAGTCCAGTCTTCTAGAAGCAGTCGCAAGGGAATTGAGTCTGAGCTGACGATCGATATCCCTTAAGGACCTGGATCGAGCTTGCTTTTATACTGCAGCTCTCAATGTTCACATAGTAGAGTGTGGGACTACCTGCTTCCATCTCCAGCAACCTCGGTATGCTGATTTCTAAGCAGCGACAACAACCCATACGCCGAGCACTCAAAAGCCTCATATTGGAGCCTTTTCTCCGCGATATCATGAAGTTATCCCCAAGACCAAGATGTCATTGAAGTAAGCACAAGACCAAATACGAGATAATGCTTGGCATTCTTGTCTGTCAAGCAAGTCATGACTCATATGGCGGGAGTTCGGGCCGGTTAGCGAGCTTTTGATGTTTGGGAAGAAATGTATAGCAGGTTGAGACCATGTGCCACTGCTCTTGTGTTCCAGAGTCACTATATGGTTATGTCGACATGGCACAATGTGAAGCTGTGGGCCAATCCAAGCTTCGCAGGCTCTCAGACTCACAGAGCTGCCTTGCAGAATATGGAATATGATAGCCTGGCGCTTGTGGTTGGAGGCTCGTCATGTGGCGCGGCTTTTCTTCGGGTCAACTCAGCATGGCATTCATCTCGTGCTGATACAGCTTGATACAAACTTGGTGTACACATTCGGTTGTCATGTTGAACTGCAAAATACACCAGTGTTCTCTGAGTCTAGAATATCGGAAATTTTCGCCGTAGCTTTTGGAAAGGTCTTCTTTCATAATCAGACAAACCAGCCCATGATGACAGGAGACCAAAGGAGGAAGGTGTGACAATTTCACGTCGGGAGGACCCATTGCATTGATGCAGCTGGGACGATAGACGGCGTGCCTGAGGCATCAACGTTACCCACGATTGTCCAATCATGTCCTCATTTAGTTATCAGCCAATGAACGCGTATCGGGAGGCATAAATCACATGACCTGCCAACGATCTAACCTAATCAAGCAATGTCCTTATCTGATAAACTTGTGGTCAAAAATTTCAGAAATGTGATCAACGCCTTTCACCATACCTACAGACATCACGATGGGTAAAGCCGCACGAGGCAAACGCAATGCGCCCTCCAGCTCTCCGTATCAGAAGCCCGGTGGTGCGCCACTCTCCAAAGCAGCCTCTGCGATATTCAAGTTCAATACGGACATCGGCCAGCACATCCTGAAAAACCCCACAATCGCCGATGCCATCGTCGACAAGGCCAACGTTCAGCCCAGCCAGACGGTACTCGAAGTCGGTCCGGGTACGGGTATCCTGACGACGCGAATTCTTGAGAAAGCGAAAAAGGTCATTGCTGTCGAACTGGATCCCCGAATGGCAGCGGAAGTTACAAAGACGGTTCAAGGGACGCCTGCGGAGAAGAAACTTCAGGTTATTTTGGGCGATTTCGTCAAGACGGATCTCTCCAAGCTGCCTCCCTTCCAGATTTGCATCAGTAACACTCCTTATCAGGTATGATTTCACACATGGTCCGGTGTTGTGGTAGACGCTGACGAGTCCGCCACAGATTTCCTCCCCGCTCATCTTCAAGCTCCTCTCCATGCCTAATCCCCCAAAGACCTGCATTCTCATGGTTCAACGTGAATTTGCCCTTCGGTTGATCGCCCGCCCCGGAGACTCGTTATATTCACGACTATCAGTCAACGCACAGTTCTTCTCTCGAATCTCGCACGTTATGAAAGTCGGCAAGAATAACTTCCGACCCCCTCCACAAGTCGAGTCTAGTGTGGTCCGGATTGAGCCCAAGGCGGATCGACCGAACATCAGCTGGGATGAATGGGATGGTATGCTCCGCATCTGCTTTGTACGAAAGAACAAGACCCTGCGCGCAGGTTTCATGGCCACGAAAGTGCGTGCGCTGATTGAGCGCAACTGGATCACATGGGTCTCCATGCACCCAGAGAAGGTTACTCAGGCGGACATTGATTTCCTCCAGGGCAAGGATGTTTCTGCCCTGCAAGGTGTTGATGAGGATATGGATATGGGCCAGGATGGCGATGAGCCGGTTGAGGGAGGTGACGACGAGGATGATATCTTCATGGATTTGGGAGGGGAAAACGATGCCCCAGTTACTACGAGCAAGGGCTCGCTCGTGGCAATCGGAGACCAACAGGTCCCTCGGGCCATGGTGACGAAACTGGTTCAAGCGAAGATCCAACAAGTTTTGGAGCAGGCCAATTTGGCGAACGCTCGTGCCCAGAAGTGTGATGAGAATAACTTCCTCCGCCTTCTACATGGATTCAATACTGAAGGTATTCACTTTTCTTGAGTGAAGGGCGATGACAAGTGCATTGCAATCTTTTTCCAAGCCCGTCGCAGACTCGTGTACTCCAGTGCCGGAGTGATCGAACGTGGCCCATGATGCTCCTATCCTCGTTTTGATACCCACTTGACGCCTCTGGAATCGGTATCGGGATATCGTCGGTTCTCAGACGGTCGACATATTGTCCACTGCGCGGAATACCGTTTGTCAGGAGTGTGGGCGCGAGTGAAGCATGCCTCTAGGCTATACCCGTGCGCACTCGAGCTTGATGATACTTTACTGGTTCTATAATTCACAGTTAGACTCCGGGGATATCTCCATCATCAGTAACGAAGACATGACATTTATTCAGTCTCATACTACCAGTGCTTTTTCGGTTTCTATACACTGCTATAGGGGCTCTGGCGTCTTAGAAAGGTGGCAGAGAAATAGAGCAAGTAATAGACACTAAACTTGAAAAGGGAATGTCGCGGATTCAGACTGATCATTAAGCAATCATTTAGCTTTCTCCACGGTTATTTGTTGGGGAGAAGAGGAGGTTAAGGAGAATCGTCTGTATCTTCATTTCTAGTCCAATACAAACAATACAATTCGGTCAGCGCGGGTTATATGCCAGTTAGGAGCCCGGATAGTTCAACAGCTCCTGGAGTGCTATCGTTACTCAACGGCTTCAGTACAGCTCGATATCTTAAACTCCATTGGTTGAAGAAACAGCCTGCGAGCAACGGCCCCTTCTAATCAGCCAAAGTCCCGTTGTGATCGTTTGTTTCAGTTTGAGGGGATTGTGAAACTGTTCTTAAGCTATCTCAGCGCCACTGAGATTCTTCAAAATATCTCGCTATCCTGTCGATCTCGTGTCTGCAGCCAAGGTCGCGATCATACTGGATAAGCCAGATGATTGGTGGGCATGGAGCGCATATGTCAAGGGTCTCGCTAAGCCGAAAGGCGTCTGTAATACATTGATCCAGACGATGACGATGAGACAGTAACCATGCAGGAACCCGTGGAACCAACGATACCTATCCCAGCAAAAGCCGTTCCACCAGATGAATGCAGATGATCGATGGGCTTGGCAGCAAGAATCCAAGCTACATGATTGGTCGTACAGGTTATAGAAGCGAGACCGAAACGCCATGATGGCGGTCTGGACGGCCATCCAGACTAGCAAGAATCAGCGTTATATCTTGAACCTGGACATCTCGGAGAGGCAGAGGATGATCAAACTGCGAGATAAGCCCGAGCCGGGTGACTTATTCCGGACGATAAAGCTTATGGACCGATTCCAGAAGCTAGGCGAGAAGAAGCGCAATGAGAGCATGGAGGAATGGCTCAGCGAATAGGAAAACGTAATTCATGAGCTTGAGGATGCTGCTGAACTCATATATTCTGAGTACCAGGCTAGCCTCAAGTTCATCAAGACTATTGACCCGCTTCTGCCACGCTACGCGAAGATTAGGCATGTGAACCTCGAGCCGGATGGCTCAAGCATCCTGGAAGAGATAAACCACTTCCGACACCGATGAAAACGCGCGACAGACGAAGACAAGCAGCCCAGCTTTGGAACCTTTCAAGGACAATCAGACCAATCAAATTGTTCAAACCAGCGCAAATGCATCTGCGGTGATTACCATCCCTTTACTGACTGCCCATATATCATATTGGGTAAGCGTCCAGCCAGTTGGAAGGGAGATCCAAAAATAAAGGCAAAGTTCGAAAAGGTTAAGAAGATGAGAGAAAACGTGAAGGCGGCGATCGAAAGAGCCGTTGCCCAAGCCAATCAGGAGGAGAGAGTAAATCGGACAATCCTCTGATCAATCAAACCGACGTACCGTGGTAAACGCGGGTGTTGGATACGAACTGTGCAAATTCCCTGCTTACAGTGCGTGCTGTCATGGCCCCACGCTTGGACGTGATACAACTGATGGTCAGGGGTATGAGGAGTGGGATTAGTGGAGTGATGGAGTGGTTCCAGGGTTGAGGTCGAGGTGATGTCTCGGAACTAGGAAGCTTAGTACAACGGGACAATCCGCTCTATATCTTCTGGATTTGATCAGCGTAAAGTGTGGAGTGATATTCCCTACTACATAAGCACGGGAGGTCGATGCGTAGGAAGGATCAAGCCATACTCATAAGGCTGATGGAAACCCCACTGTGGCAGTGCAATTGGGTTACAAGGTGGAGCTGCACTGCCACACTTCCGATAAGATGAAGCCAAGGCAGCAGCCCCAGTTGTTTACCTAAAACAAAGCTGTCTAGTCCTCATCTTCCTGACGTACCAAATATTTTCATTCCTAAGTTTTTCATCTACCTCAGTCCATTTGACATATACTTGATACCCAGTTATCATCCTCTGAAGGAAGTAGACCATTTACACCTGTTTTCAGGTTTATCTGCCCCTTCGGTTTGGCGCAACATGTCCGCGCAAGAGTACTATAATTCAGGCTATATTGGTGGCCGAAAGCCAGATACCCCATTAAGCGATAATGGCGGCAATCGACCATGGACCCCGCCATCTTCGACGGTCACTCCAGAACCTGGAATGTCCTACTCACCAGGAGTAGAAAATCGTCCTTACAACTATGGTGCCCCGCCTCCGCCAACAACCAGCTATGGGCGTCCTCAGAACGTATACCCATCTCAGCCTTCAGAAGGCATGGCTCCGGGATTTTCTCCGCAGACAAAGCCACAGCAGTACGACAATGAGTATAACAACTCTGGATCTCCACCTTACACCCAGCACTACTATGGCTCGCCACAGCCGTATCCCCCATACCCTACACATGACACCTATCCTGAGCACCCGCCCACTCAGCCGCCGTATCCACAGGATCAGAAGGATGAAAGAGGCTTCATGGGAGCGGTTGCTGGAGGCGCTGTAGGGGCCTACGCCGGTCATCAAGTCCATCACGGCGTCTTGGGGACTATCGGAGGAGCGATCACTGGATCTGTCGCCGAAGACGCGATCAAGAAGCACAAGAAGAAGAAGGAAAAGAAAGAGGGCAAATGGGGACATGGTCGCCGGTCCTCATCCTCATCCTCGTCATCGGACAGTGACGACCGTCGGGCTCATCATCAACAGCATCCTCCTGCGGAGCCTTCTTTCCGAGGCAACTTTTCCGCCTCGTCGACGGAGATTAGCCTCGAGCACAATTATGAGCTGACAGCTAGATGCCGTTCGATCTCAGGGGAGCTGCATCGGTCGAGTATCTCTCTGAACTCGGTACTCTCGAACCACTTCGGTTCTTTTGTATGGGCGCGTGGCGGTAATTTTGGAGCGTCGGCGAGAAATGTGCATCTTGCTGAAGGCGGACGAGTACTTGATGCTGAGCTGGCCGATGGAAACGGCCATTGGAAGAGGGCATGGGTGAGATTGGATGAGCGGATCACGAACCAGAACGGACATCTAGTATTCCTGGACTGATGATCATGAGGCTGGTACACTATTTGCTGCAATTCAATGTTAGCTCATGACACCTAATGAATTTCAAACTTTTGTGGTGACTCTAATGTGGTTCTTAGGATTGGGAGAGTCTTAATTCATCTCGATTCAAGTCAAGACCATCTATGATCTTGCCTTAGCCGTCGAAATGGGCTGCTGAATACCAGCATGCCACCAGTAGTCTCTTGATTGAACTGAATGCCTTTCCCGAGTCATCAGATGATTCTCATTTACTACTCAGAAGTGAAGATTGAGCTCGTCTTGCCTCTAGCAAACAGCATGTATCATGTGACTGCGCCTGTCTCAATGTGAGGTGATTGAGTTATGTTGTTAGTTTTCCTTCCTCTTCCCCAATCACTCAATGTAATCTCAAACATCCTGCATCCCATTATGATATTGTGAGAGATAGACTCCTTTCCCACAAAGCTTTTAATTTATAATCCTTCATCATCTCATTGACAAAATTCGTCATCTCAATAAGGAAACCCGAGCACTAATGCGGCAGAGAACCTACCGGAGGGATGGCAGCCCGAAGGCCTCGCAAGGTATACAGTTGTTTCACACAGATGGCAAGCGACTACCGATGATATGGGAGAGGATGGTCCTACTCAGACAAGACGCTGTGACAAGGCTGGAGGAGTACACCTTTGGCAAACCATATCGGATCGCGAGAATTAAAAGGGTAAGACAAATTCTCTGGGGCCATATGTCAGTTTTGAGCTCGCAGAACCGCTTCGCGAAGCGATGAAAAACCATTCCATGGCGCTAGCTTGTGTTTTACCGTACCAATATTACAGTTTTTACCGTCAGGCATTCGCATGTATCTTCCGCGTCTGAAGCCGATAGGAGTCGATCTGCGACGAATCTATGATTGACCTATATCTTGCAGTGGATAATTCACCACCAGCTCCGAAGTTCTCTATCCGAGGATGGAATTGGGATTATGAGGACTCCACTATCGAAGACCTCTGGCAGGTGGACTTCCTAGTCCACCTAGTGCATCTCACAAAACAAGATGCTTCAGCATATCCTATACTACGCAATGTCAGGTCACTCAGTCTTGAAACTGCCATGACCAACATGCGGCCTTCAGCATTTTTTTCAGCTTTTGAGCCGATTGCCCGACGTTTGTCGTGTTTCAGCTGGAGAAAGTACCTTGATACAACCATTTGCACTCCGTGCCCTACGTGAGGAAAGGCAAAGCTTGTTTATTTCTTGCTCAATAACTGTTTGAACTATTTTCGTTGGGGACTGACCGCCTCCTCTTAACCAGTACCTTTTCATTGTCTTCCTCTAGTCCCGCCTTCCGTCGAGAAGTTCAAGTATGAGATTGTACCGGAACGAGAAATGTCGTGCACGCCGGTGAGAATGCAGCCAATTATCCTCGGTCAGGGGACTGGATGAGCTCTCCATTGCCTTTCGAACACTCTCTATGCGACTGAGATTCCTTCGTCTGACTAGTGTACAGGTCAACAATCGACTGATTTGGCCATCGCCTGAGGAAGACGGAATCTTCGTTGATACATCCACTGGCCGGTGTTAGAGGTCATTACAATAACGGACATACCTCCATGTACAGCAGACGGTATGTTCTGACAGCATGAGCCACTGATCACGTTACGCTAAGTCAATCAGGAAAATGGATTCTGGATGTTGATCTAGACAAAGAGCAATTGATGGAAATGAAGATTTTGACAATGGATGGGACTATGACGAATTGGGATTTGACGCGCGGGGACTGGTTAGAAGCGATGAAGTTGACAAGCTCTACTCGGCAATGGGCAAGGCTGCACAGAGAATGCCACAGCTGAAATACCTTGAGTTCAGTTTCCGTGGTGAAGCCGGAGACTGGGAATGCTTGATGTTCTCTCGGAACCTGGAGACACGAGGAGCTCATTTGAAAATCAGCAACGAGTGGGGGGCATGATCTCGGAGAGGAGGTCATCACAGCCTGGCGCCTCGAGGGTGAAAAGGCCGAAGAATTCCGGACAAAGTGGTCCATTGAATTCGACCACTGGCCTTCAGGAGATACTTGCATCCAGGAGGAGGATATATCGACACGTCCATTCTGATGCCTGTTCAGTTTGCTGGAGTTTCTGCGGGAGGTGGGGTGATTCTCTCAGGTCGATTGCTTAGATATGCCGAGAGGTACTTACCTCAAAGAAACCCTTGTGTAGCCCAAGAGGACAATTGAAATGCCACTGTGCAAAGAAAGCTTGATGATATTATCTTAGGGTAAAGAAACGGTCTTTGAAGACCGTGCAGAGACTTTGTAACATACCAGCTGCTGGTGAATATATCATTAAGCTCAGCATAATCCCTTCTATTATTCATAGCTTCTTCTGTGAATGTATTCAGGCGTACATCGCAAGGTTACCTGTTATTCACTGTTCGGTTATTTATGGCCGTCCTCGGTACTCTTGTCTCCTTATCGTTCCAACTTACTCCTTCTATCATGCTTCTCTTACTCTGACCATCGCAAAAGGAAACAGTTCACACCATATCATCATGGTCTCATCTAAATGACTACTCTGGTAAGCTCCTCCACATCCTGCCTTCTTGCCACCTTCTTACCAGAGAAGCAGAATCTTGGATCCCAAACTTCAAGTGCTTTCAACAGCTCTTCCAAGCTACAGAGCCATTAGATCTCCTAAGAAACTTCTAACTGTTTTCTGAAAAGCCCTATTTTTCTGTGAGTGGCTTGCCGAAACTTACCAAGATAGAGATTGATTATGGTTCTGCAGATAAGTCTTACGATGGTAGGGAGAATGGTAATTCGAGAACTGGAAAAGCTCTCCAGAATTTGAAACGCGCACTGAACCTAAAGAAGCGATTTTAGAAGATGAACCTACGCAAGGATGGTCAGAGACAGTAGACCTTTACTTAGGAACTGAACTCTCTCTCTCGCAAAGGCAGGTGCGTGGGAGCCAGGCCGAGTGATCCTCCAGACATCGGGCTGCAGGACACGACAATCGAGGAGATCAGGGAGATCTTGGATGCGGCACACAGTGCGTTGGGTTTAAGTGGTATTGAACATGGATTCACTGTTGCTCTGCTAAATTATTGACGTGCACATCGGTCCAAAGAGTAAGCTCTGCAGCTCCTTATTTCTCGACGTATAGCCCAGGTTTACATGCTGGGTATGCCGGGGTCATTATTGAAGCGGTGAACATCGACATACGGATGACCTGGAACCCGTGCCAAAGCAACACGTTCAACACATCAAGAATCCAGCGTTGGAATTGCCAGTGGAGAAGGACAAGCGGATCTAGCCCTGTTCCAACACCGGAGCTAGAAGGCTGCAGGAAAAGACTGACTGTCAAAGGTATACATGACAGACATCGGCCACAAGTCACTGTGGTCTCAGTACTCTTGCAAATGCCCACTTTTTGATTATGGATACTGCTCTGCACCTTCCGTCTGTATTGGGAGTAGCGCCTTGCTTAAGGTCGCTGTCGTCTGCTACCTACGATGTCTTTCCTCACACTTCTTCAACGCTGGCCGTGGCTTGATGATCTTGATCGGCGGAGAACTATTTGTGACAAAGTCTCCCTGATCCTGGATAAAATCCTCTGGTCTCATCGGTTTGTTTTCTATTCCTACACTATCGTTGCACAAGTCCTTTACTGATGTCTACAGTTATTATTGGTTGAAATGCCCAGCTAAAGATGTAATAATGACAGAGATCCATTCATAAAAGGAACGACTGATATTTGGACACCAGCATTCCTGTTCTGTGGCCCTTGTCATGTACCTCAAGCGAAAGCTATTGCAAAGGGACCATGAATGTGCAAATAATCTGACTGCGTACCCAAAATCGACCGCGACCCTTTCCATTGGCGAACATCAATACCGGAGAGAAGCGTTCCTCCATGAGTGTCCAGGGAATCTGATGCCTCCACAAGTCTGTCAAGGGCCAAGGCGCCCTTCATGCGGTTGTCAACATCACAGATCGTTCTCAGCCTCTGCATACTTAGCTCCTTGGCTTCAGAGCTAAGAACTGTATATAATTCATGTAGGAAATGGTTATGAGTTGTAAAAGCAGCTGTGACTCCGTCCTCAGTTAAGAAAGTGATCCTGACATGAAAGGCAAAAGCTAGTGAATGTGTGTGGGGTGCAACATATCGCAGACTTGGCGACCCCAATACAAGTCACCATCATCCCACTTTCATCGCCCTCTGTCAGCCTTGCAAGCATTATTCGCCTCCTTACCATGACCAAAGTTCGCATCTCAGGAGATCTCTACGATGAAGTTGATAAGCTCTCTCCCCTGTGAGATCATCGGCCTCATTCTTGCAAACTGCGAGAGCTTTGCCGAGCTACGCAACGCGATCTTGACTAGCAGGTCATTTTACTCAGCCTGGAAGTCCCACACAGGGTCGACTCTATGGCATATCGGCCAACTTGAGATCTTAGGTTTCAGAGACGCGCTGATAGCAGTACGGACTCATCTTATTCTCCCCGCTGACACTTCAGTAAACCTATCCTCGCTAACAAACGATGGACGTTTAGGCGAGAGCAACAGAGATTGCAAAACAAGCGATCCTCAAGGGAGATCTCCCGCCCTTTCCACTCCCTCTGGGTGGGCTGAGTGGAGAGGTCCGCAAACCCACAGTGAATGAGCTAAAGCTTCTGTTCGATTTCCGGCGTTTGGCCGAGTGCCTTGAACGATTGCCAGGGCGAACAGTGCCCCATCCTGGTATGATTGCATTGAAAGTCTTCAGCCAGAAGACAGAATCAACGCCTGATGGTGTGGAAGGAGCGCTTGCATGTCGCGTTGTATCGAAGCTTTCTCGCAGGCGCTGCGCGGTATCGTGCGTACCAGGAGCCTTTAACTCTGGAGAGCACTTGCGGCCTTCCGGGTTTCCTGGACAAATTCCGAAAAAATATGGAGGAGTGGGATGAAGAAGACGATTATCACGAGACTCTTTTACGCCGGCTGAGAAGCGCTGTCTGCTCCAGTATCCCATATTCAGATATGAGGAATTCCAATATCACGGGGATATATTCCAGCCTCTGGCGGATATCTTTGTACAGGAGCGCAAGAGAACGACAAAGGTGGTGAATACCTTAAGAGCTGCAAGTCTGTATGAGCGGTACGGGGCAGGGCGATATGCCCCTGGTATGCTCGAAAAAAGCCATTCCGAGGCGCTCTTCCATCAGCTCTTGCAGTTCATGTTCGTTGCCCATACTCGATGCTCGAAAACATAATCCGAAATGAGGATGGAAGCGAGTATCACCAGAGGTACACTCAGCCGACACCCAAAGAGACGCCTGAACGCCGCCGTACTGTCACCGTAATCTTCTTGGACGTGTTTAGCCTCGAGGAGATTATCATGCCAGAGAATGTTGAAGATGCAGTGGAGACGTCCGTCCTTGCACGTCCCGGTGTCGAAAGTCCTGTATTCGACAAGGCTAACTTGCCTGGACTTGAATATGCGTTCCGCGATCTTCGGTCCTTACTCCACGAGATTAAATGGTTCTCTGGCCAGCCAAATTGCTATTGGCTCGACTGTGGGACTCCTCCCGACTTTCAGTTTGTGCGATACATGCTGGCGAAATACTTTCGACTGCGGTTCAAAGACAACAAGTGGGATTGGGGAAACAGCCGTAACCATGACTCGCGTAAGATTGTTTGGTCTAAATTCACCGTTAGCGGTGATCTGTTCTGTGAGATATACTGGCAGAGGGATATAACGAGGCCTGTGCCCTCTTGGAGTCAATCGATGCTCCACGTCCTGAGCCTTTGTTTGTTTATGGTTTTTTTCCGGCCCGTTTTCTAGGTTGTTCGAACTAGGAAGCATTGCCGTTGGATCCATAGAAAACGGAATAAAGTTTTCCAGATAAGGTTATTGAGATCGAATACGGATACGTAGCCAATCAACATCCTCCGTCCGGAACTATTGCGTCTCTAGTGGCGAATCTTGACTCCATCGTCAGATGCCTGAAGAGGCAAGGAATACGGATACGGAGAGGTAGAGACCTCTTGCAGCCTGCTATAATTATTCGTCTACCTGATGACTTGAGGACGTTGTCCCATCCGCTCTCACTTGCCTCTTCCCTACTCACTTCTGGCAGTAATCTCAGAACCATGGGAAGACCCGAGACACGTGCACAACCCTCTGAAAGCGATGGACCTCCACCGTATTCACCCGTGGATGGTGGACTCGTTGCGGAGTCGGCCGACGTTCGAGGTAAGCGAGCGATGATATCAAGTTGTATGTCGCTGACTAGACCAGCCGATGGACGAATTGACGTTGATCTGAATTCGAGGATTGCCCGCACTCTCGCCCAGATCATCGAGCTGCAACAGGAAGACATTCATAACCCACCTCCCAACTATCAGCAAGAGCTCCGACAGCAGCAACCTCAAGATCATCAGCTAAAACCCATCGAATGCAGCATCCACCTCAATATTGTGATCCAGATTGTTGGCAGCCGCGGCGACGTTCAGCCTTTTATTGCACTCGGCACCGAACTACAAAAGCACGGTCATCGCGTCCGTCTAGCCACACATGATGTTTTTGCAGACTTTGTGAGATCATCTGGGCTCGAGTTCTATCCTATTGGCGGTGATCCAGCGGAGCTTATGGCCTTTATGGTGAAGAACCCCGGCCTCCTACCGCAGATGGACAGCCTTCGGGGCGGGGAGATCCAAAAAAAGCGAGCCATGGTTGCAACGATGCTGGACGGGTGCTGGCGTTCGTGCATTGACGACGATCCGCTTACCAAGGTTCCATTTGTGGCGGATGCAATTATTGCGAATCCGCCCAGCTTCGCGCATGTGCATTGTGCGCAGGCGTTGAAGGTCCCGGTGCATCTGATGTTTACCATGCCGTGGAGTAGTACGACTGCTTTCCCCCACCCGTTGGCCAATCTGCGGCCGTCGGACATGAGTCCGCGGACGGCGCACTGGGTTTCGTATGGTGTGGTAGAGTGGTTGACCTGGCAGGGGTATTGATTTCCAGTCTGTATGCAAAACATATAGCTGACGCGGAGTAGGTTAGGCGATGTGATCAATCGATGGCGAGCTACCATTGACTTAGAACCTATTCCTATGGCTGAGGGGCCCAGTTTGGCAGAGACCCTCAAGATTCCTTTCACCTACTGCTGGTCTCCAGCTCTGGTACCAAAGCCTAGGGACTGGGCTGAACATATTGGTTAGTACTCCATTGTGGTCTACATGAAATTTACTCATAATTATAGATGTGTGCGGCTTCTTCTTCCGGCAAGCCCCGTCGTACCGACCGCCGCCAGATCTCGAGCAATTCCTTGCTTCAGGGCCACCACCTGTGTATATCGGCTTTGGAAGCATCGTTGTGGACGATCCGCAACGCTTGTCTAATACTGTGTTGCAGGCAGTGGCTGAGTCTGGTGTTCGTGCCATCGTGTCACGAGGTTGGAGCAAGTTGGCTGGAGACGGGAATCCAAACATCTACTTCATCGGCGACTGTCCCCATGAATGGCTGTTCCAGCACGTTTCAGCAGTCGTGCACCACGGAGGTGCTGGGACTACCTCCTGTGGACTGGCCAACGGGAAACCAACAGTCGTCGTACCTTTCTTTGGAGAGTGGGTTTGTGTTCTTCCGTATACTGGGCAAGGGCTCACTAGTATATAGTCAACAATTCTGGGGCAACATGATTGCAAGGGCTGGAGCAGGCCCATCTCCCATTCCACATGCTACACTTGGCGTTCAGAATTTGGCTGAGGCTATTCGATTCTGCCTGAAACCACAGACCGTTGCTGCTGCGCGTGAAATCGCCGCCAAAATGCAGTATGAGTCGGGCGTCACTGCCGCCGTACAGTCCTTTCACCGTCATCTTCCGCTGGAGCAGATGAGGTGCCAGGTATTCCCAGACCAGGTTTCTGTGTGGAAATACGCGAGGCACAAGCGGGAGATCCGATTATCAAGGAAAGCCGTGCAGATTCTCATCGACCACTTAAAGATTGATCCAAAGAATCTCCGCTGGTGAGTTCACATTCTCTAATTTATGTCGCGACACTGACGGGTCAGTTATGATATCAAACCTATCATTATTGAAAACCGCCGCTGGGATCCGCTCACCGGTGTCACCTCCGCAGCCGTAGGCACCGGCACTGACTTGCTCAAAAGTACCACAAACATGTTCTACAAACCGTACAAAGAACTCGCCCGTAATAGAACTGATGTTGCCTCCAATGGTCAAGAACGTCATCCCGTTGCCACCGCCGGAGCCATGGCGGGACAATTTGCGAAAAGCTTCGGACAGTTCATGGGATCGTACACCAGGGGTGTCATTGTGGATATCCCGCACGCGGCAGCGGAAGGCTTCAGGCAGGTCCCGCGCCTGTATGGCGAACAACCCAAGGACTACGGCGCTGTGCAGGATTGGAAGTCCGGTGCTACGGTTGGGGGAAAGAACTTTGTGGATGGCATGATGGAGGGTTTCTCGGGGCTGGTCACCCAGCCGATCAAAGGTGGCAAAGAGGAGGGAGCGCTGGGCGTTGTCAAGGGTTTGGCAAAGGGTACAGCGGGATTCGTGACCAGGGTTCCTTCCGCTGGACTAGGGCTCGTCGCATATCCATTTCAGGGTATTGTGAAGAGTATCGAGTCGTCGGTTAGGTCCAAGACGAGGAAGGCTATTATCACGGCACGACTACGGGATGGGTATGATTCGAGTCGACGGGAGGAAGTTTCGCAGGAGGAGAGACGGTTTGTCCTGCAGAAGTTTCAAAGTCTTCTGTGCGGTACAACTACTACTCCTACATAGAATTTGGACCGTAAGAACTCGCCCAGGGACTCAGGGGCTTGAAGGTAGGCCTAAGGCACAAACAGATATCAAGGCACCAACATAGTCACATGACTGAGAGTGGGATTGATCCTTTGTTGGTGCTACGCGCAAACACCAAGGGAAGGACACATCAGGATAAACAACAAATACCATAGAGTTAAGGAATTATGAGCCTTGACTGCGACTAGAGTCAGGATTTAGCTACGCACTACAGGCATACCACTTTACTACGCACTTTTAACTGTTAGTACCCTTAGCGCAGCGTCGGCTGTGAGCCTGTGGCATATCTTGCCGCACAGTCCGCACTTTTGCAAGTTACTGCAACATGGTCCACAGGTCCTAGACATAGTTACTATCCATATATATTTTTCTTGCATTTTGAGATATGTTAAGCTTCCAAGTGCTAGCCGCCTAGTCATGGAAGCCAATCCCATGGCCGCCCCGCGCCTTGTCCCAATTGCTCCCGCGCCAGCTACGGCATCATCTGTTGACGTGCAGAATGGCTCCAACGCAGACTTGACGACAATGCGCTTCAACTGCCAAGGCTGTGTGCGCAAAAAGGTCAAATGCGATAGGGTTATGCCGACATGCTCGAGCTGCAGCAAAGCAAAACTTCACTGCGTCTACCAGGCTCCCCTGCCGCGGAAGAGGAAGCGAAGCCAGGTCGAAGACGTGTATGAGCGTCTCGCACGGTATGAGCGCATCTTGCAGGAGAACAATCTTCTCCCTACTGCCTCTGCATTGACCCCATGCAGCAAGGAGATGGAGGCGTCGGTGGTCAGCACACGGGATGCAAGCCCAGCGCCGGACATGCAACCCGCTAGGTCTGGTAAACTTCTTTCCGCCGATGGCAAGTCTCGATATATTGACAATGTTCTCCTCCTTGAGGCTGGAGAAGGCGACCTGTGTGAATTATCCGATGCAGACCAAGATGACTACCAGCATGAAGACACTGGACCTGATGAGAGCACCCCGACTGGTCTTCTGAGCATCCTCGCAGCACATACAGTGTTTGGGGCTATACATGGAAGCACCCAGAGCCTCACGAACCAACATCCCAGCTATGAGGAGGCTACAGAGCTCTGGAATATGTACGTGCAAAATGTCGAGCCTCTTTGCAAGGTTCTTCACGTTCCGACTGTCGCAAAAATGGTCGACACAGTTGCAAAACAACCTTCTGCGGCCTCCAAGAGTGACGAATGTCTGCTTTTTGCCATCTACTATTTCGCCGTGTTCTCCATGTCAGACGCCGACTGTCTTCAACTGTTTAACCAAACGAAAAACCATTTGATGTCGACATATCGAACCGCTATCTGCCAGGCACTTGTCAATGCATCGTGGCTGAAGTCTACAGCGATGCCGATACTACAAGCTTACACTCTCTTCCTCATCGCCATGCGCACTCAAATTGATTCTCACACATTTTGGATATTGACAGGGGTTGCGATTCGCCTCGCACAACGCATAGGGCTGCACCGTGATGGTGAAAGTCTGGGATTGCCACCATTCGAGGTCCAGATGCGACGGCGGCTCTTTTGGCAACTGCTTCCACTGGACGGCTATGCGGGCCAGGTCTGCGGCACTGGGATTTCCATATCGCCGAGTAGCTGGGATACCAAGCCACCGCTTAACATTAACGATGACCAGATCTTCCCTGGTATGACGCAGAAGCCTCAAGAGCAAAGGGGTGCTTCGGAAATGATCTTCTGCTTGTCGCGGATCGAACTGTCCAATTTTTACATCCGAACGGGTGTCAAAATGAAGGAAATTGGTGGTACTATTCAATTCAAGGATGCAGAGGAGATCGAGAGGCTCATCGACGAGGTCGAAGATTTCATCGAGACAAAGTTTCTTCGATACTGCGATATCCTGAAACCCCTGCACGTTTTCACCATGGGAATTGTACGATCTGCCACCAATGCCGTCCGACTGCGTGCTCGAATGCCACTACTACTGACGCAAACCATTGCCGACGCGCAAAGAAGAGAACTCTGCACTCTCGCAGAAAAGATCCTCGATACAAACAGCGCCATCTACGGCAACCCCAGCATGAAGAAATTCCGGTGGCAGATGCAAGCCTTCTTCTTGTGGGATGCCCTTCTCTGTATTTTACTTAGCCTGGCAGAAGTCGGATTCTACTCGACGCCAGAGCTAAACGCTACCTGGAACAAGGTTGCAGAGGTCTATTCGAATCACGAAGAACTTGTCAAGCGCAAGAAAGCCCTGCATGTCACCATTGGCAAATTAACTCTCAAGGCCTGGATTGCCAATCCTCCGAGTAATTCGTCCACAGAACCGGCTTTCATAACCACGCTGCGCGCCCAACATGAACCGAACGTCAACACACAGCAGGGGAGAGTTTATGAAACGGTGGGTACCGAGCAGGTTACGGGGGGTGGATTTGATGATTATGAGCTTTTTGACAACAGCCATTGGACAGACTTGAATCTTGATACCGGCTTCACTCTCGACTCTTCAGATTGGGTGGTTTGGGACCAGCTGTGTCGAGGGACTAGTCTGGGCTAAGCAGGCGGCTTCCATGACAAAAGTCTGCGTGGACTTAGACAACACGATGCAGTAAGACAACACATTTACGATTACGAGTTCATAATGGGAGAGTTGCTGACTATCATTCGCCTCGACAGACAATATAAGGGGCATATTATCAGTCCTGTTCTCAGTATAGAAGCTGGTCCATCAGGCCTTGCTATTGGACAACTAATAAGGAACAATCCATTGTTAGCATAGACTTCGAGCCATCTTCTGGACTCTTCTCCTTTCGGTTACGGTCCAGGAACGCGAGGTCTAGCTGTACACAGTACTCTATACGTTGTTTCAATAGTCGGCCCCGGGCCCGAAGAATGGCCCCCTCTCATTGGACAGCGCATCGGTCCTTCACAGGCGATCCGGGCCCGAAGCGAAATACGCCCCGGTGATTGGCCGCTTGATACATACGAGATATGTATAAGAAGTATAAGAAGTCAAGCATCGCAGCACTAAGAATCAGTCGATGATTCCATCCAAGATGAGCGATAGGACTCCATTTGCCTCCGACGAGGGCATCACGCCTTCCCCTGAAAAGGAAGACCTTGAAGCAGCGAAAGGGACAATCCCAACCGAGCCACCCAACAAAGACCCGGATCTCGTTACATGGAGCGGGCCAAATGACCCAGAGAACCCCAAAAACTGGCCCAACAGCTTGAAGTGGAAGAACACCTGGGCCATTTCCCTCTTCGTCTTCATCTCACCCGTCTCATCATCCATGATTGCCCCGGCGATGCAAGATCTCGGCAAGAGCCTAGGGATGCACACCGACATTGAGGTGTACCTCTCCATGGCCATCTTCATTCTGGCCTACGCCATCGGTCCCATCTTCTTCGGTCCTGCTTCGGAGCTCTACGGTCGTGTGCGTCTGCTTCAGGTCAGCAATGCGTGGTATCTAGCATGGAATCTGGGATGTGGATTCGCCAAGACCAAGGCTCAGCTCTTTGCTTTTCGCTTTCTTGCAGGCATTGGCGGCAGCGCACCGTTGGCGATTGGAGGGGGCGCCATCAGGTAAGAAGTGGACGCAATCACCAAGAAATTCTTCCTTTGCTAACCCGTCTTCTAGCGACATGTGGAGCGCCGAAGAGCGCGGCAAGGCCATGGGCGTCTACACTCTTGGGCCGCTCCTCGGGCCCGTCATCGGACCCGTTGCCGGCGGCTTCATTGCCCAGTACTCAACATGGCGCTGGGTCTTCTGGGCAACCTCCGCCGCCGCCGTCGGAGTCCAGGTCGTCGGATTCATCTGGCTGCGTGAATGTCACCCGGCCACGCTCCTACGCAAGCGACGCGACCGCCTCGTCAAGAAGACGGGCAACGAGAATCTGCATACCGAAGAGAAGGTAGAGACACTCACCTACAAGCTTCTCCACGCGTTCGAGCGGCCGGTGCGCCTGTTCACAACGCAACCCATCGTCTTCTGCATGGCCATCTACATGGCCTACCTCTTTGGAATAACGTACCTCATGCTCGCGACGTTTCCCGACATCTGGACCGGGGTCTACCACGAAAACCCCAGCATCGGTGGACTCAACTACCTCTCCATCGCCATCGGGTCGTTCGCCGGCCTCTTCTTCAACCTCAAGTTTGTCGACCGCATCTACAAAGCCCTCAAAGCGCGGAACAACAACATCGGCAAGCCCGAGTTCCGCATGCCGTCGCTAGCGGTCGGCTCCGTCCTCAGCACTATTGGCCTCTTCTGGTACGGCTGGAGCATCGGGAACACGCACTGGATCATGCCCAACATCGGTGCTCTGATTTACACCGCAGGCACAATCTCCTGCTTGCAAGGCATGCAGACGTATATCGTCGACAGCTATCAAACCTACGCTGCCAGCGCCATGGCTGCCTGCGCGATCCTTCGCAGTCTGGCTGGGTTTGGCTTTCCCCTCTTCGCTCCGTACATGTACCAGTCTCTGGGCTATGGATGGGGGACCAGCGTGCTGGCATTCGTCACTGTGGGTATTGGCTGGGTGGCGCCTTTTGCGTTTTGGCGGTTTGGGCCCAGGCTGCGTGCAATTTCCAGGTACGCTGCTCGCTAGAGTGGACTTGGTGAAACTGTCGGGATAGTCAAGACTGGGTTGATTTGGTAATCGAGAATCCCGTTCTTTGGAGTTTGGCATGGAGGAAGTAATCATTTGTGACTTGCTGTATTTATTAACCGCTAATCCGACTGTTATGGTCAGACGATGAGGCACAGTCCAGACGCATCCTTATCTTTGTAATAGTGTGCTTGGAGACTGGGGCGCAGGCTCTTTGCTGGTCTGATACCCCGCACCTTTGCCCTCACATCTATGCAAGAGTCTCACCCATCCCTCTTCCACTACTCATATAGCATTTCTCCAGAAATGTACGAGCGGGGATTTTATACTTGGTAGCATGGTCTGCGTCTGTTGTCCTTCATCCAGCGTAGGATATAGTGCCCACGACATCTGTCCTTGGGACGCCACATGTGTCCAAGCAGCACTGCTTCTAAGTGCATCCGTTGCTGACAAGGTGTACTGTAATGCTATGGCTACATCCCTATAACTCTGTTCATGAACTTCATTCATCGTCCGGTCGACACTAGGACATGGGAAACTGGCTTACCACGTGGGACTTGGAATCGTGCCCTTAGTTTGTTAGGGCCGTGGCTTTCTCTATGCATGAGAGTCCAGAAGGTGATAATGATATGCTACTATGTCATATCAGTAGCCAAGTTGTTGCCTAGACAGAACAAGACATTCAGACGAGACATTTCAATGTTCAATTGGCTTAATCCTCCTCATGCAGGATCAACATGCTCAAATGATCAGATGTGATTGGCGAGTGCAGATACACACGACAAAGAGTGAACCAATCATATCACAGAACGGAAGGAGTGCTCACATCTACATACTTTGATTGGCTGATATGAACGCAGCACAAGTGGAGATGAGCCAAGTAAAGCCATTAAAGCTTAGCGGGCCCACTTCTATTGTAGACCTCCTTCCTGTTCCTGATACACCCCACATTAATAATGACAAGAACGTGTAAAACGGTGATACTGTACCAATCTCGGGTTTCACTTTAGCAGTGCTACCTTGAGGAATGTTGGAGATGAATAAAGCAATAGACACGCTGATCTCAATGTAAAAGCACCTCAATAAGCCCACCTCCGTGGACAATCTGCCGGAAATCGCCATCAACTGCAAGATCCGACTGGATTACTGGACGTGAGGGGAGATATCGCTTACCGGTAGGCATATCCGATATGGCGTGCTAACATAGTGGCTGCATTATTCCTGCCTGTAGAATTTGTCGATCAGCGCATGTGCTGGCGAATGTCACTCGTCATTTGTTGATCCAGCATATCATATTGAAAGCAGCAGGTTGTGGTATCAGCAGAGTAATAAAAATACTTGCATTAATATAAAAGATGTTCAAACTGCTCAACAGGTGAGAATGAGCAAGAACTAACTTTCATCATCATGAAGGCCAACACTTTGGTGCCCTTGCTCGGTCTCTCTAGTAGCGCTGCCGCTGCGGCCGTGGCTGCGTCCAGCAATACCCCTTTTGGGTACGCCTCTGGCTCCAAGGAGTCCATTGCCAACTTGAAGGACAAGATTGAGAATGTCGTGTGGATTCTGCTGGAGAACCGCAGCTTCGACAACATCCTGGGTGGTGTCAAGCGCAAGGGTCTGGACAACGTTGTTAACAACGGTCCCTTCTGCAACCCCCAGAATGTGAGCGATTCCAGCAGCACCAAGTGGTGCAGCGTGTACAAGGACTTTGACTCGGTCAAACATGACCCTGATCACTCAGTCACTGGTTACAACATGGAGTTGTACGGCACGTACACTCCCAGCAACGATGCCATCGCTGACGGCACCCTGAAGCCAAGCATGAACGGCTTCGTGGAGCAGCAGCTGGTGCACCACAAGGGTCTTGATCCCAAGGTGGCCGATGAGGAGGTCATGGGCTACTACTCCGAGGACGAGATCCCCACTCTGGTCAACCTGGTTGACGAGTTCACCACCTTCAACTACTGGCACTCGTGTATCCCTGGTGTAAGTCACTGTCCCTACTACGAGTACAAGATACTAATGAGAACAGCCCACCAACCCCAACCGTCTGTGCGCCCTCTCCGGTACCTCCGATGGCCACGGCACCAACGACAACAGCTTCGATGTCTCTGGCGTCGACATCTCCAGCATCTTCCAGGTTGCCACCGAGAAAGAAATCACCTGGAAGAACTACGATGGTACAAACGGTGCCTTCCTTTCGGACGCTCTTTTCTTCAACTGGACCGCGCAAAACGCCAAGCAGAACGTCGTCCCCCTCGAGAATTTCTACCAGGACGCCTACCTCGGCCTCCTTCCCCAGCTCTCCTACATCAACCCCTCCTGCTGCGACCTCGACACCAACTCCATGCACCCCTCCGGCAACGTCTCCTTCGGCCAGGTCCTCGTCAAGCAGATCTACGATGCTGTCCGCACCGGACCCCAGTGGGACAAGACCCTCCTGCTCGTCACCTTCGACGAGACCGGCGGTTTCTACGACCACGTCCAGCCCCCTCTTGCCGTCCGCCCAGACAGCAAGACCTACACCGAGACCGCCGCCGACAGCAGCTCGTACACCTTCAACTTTGACCGTCTGGGCGGCCGTATGCCTACCTGGCTGATCTCTCCGTATACGCCCAAGGGCCACATTGAGAACTACGGTATTGACCCTGTCACAGGCAAGACTACCTCGTACAGTGCCACTTCCGTGCTCAAAACCCTTGGATATCTCTGGGATCTGAAGGACTTTACTCCTCGTGTCTCGCACTCGCCTGCTTTTGACCATCTGATTGGTCCTAAGAAGCGCACCGCTCCTGCCACGTTGGCTAATCCCCATCCTTTCCCTGATGCTGTTTAGGATTTCATTGCAGAATCTACTCAAAATCAAGGAGATGTCTTAAAACGAGATTTGAAGCATTCCATATTGCTCTTCGCCTTCTTGTATATGATGTTCTCATTCCGATCTTATGAAATATGACCTTATCTACTGAAGGAATTTACGTTCCATGATATACGGGTCCGATTTATGAACAAAATAAATTTTACAAGTGGTGGCCGAACTAATGTACCGTCCTTTTCGCAATGGCGGGTCCTGTCCCGTAACTACATGGAAGTAAGCATAGACATGCAAATCCTCCTGCTGCAGCTGCTCACAAACACGGGCTAGGAGCGCATCTGTATCCTCTTTCGACCAGCCTAATGTACGAGTGAACAGTCCCATAGAATACACCTCCAGACTTCTCGACAGCTAATATGAGTAGGACTTTCCAACTCTCTTCCATTTAGGGTCCTCGCTCCATTCCCCCAGTGGACCTATAGGCTCAGCACAGCTCTTACTTGGGGCGAGAGACAAGTAATCATAAGCCTACTTGTATACTTGCTCCTTTACCTCCTAAACCTAGCAGCTCCATCCACACCCTCTGCTTTCCAGCAACATTAATCCTCTCCACGAACTTCTCCGCTGCTCCCTCTAACAGCTCCTGCCAATGTCGAACTGCGTCCAGAATGCCGCTTTCCTCATCATCAGAGCAAGGCGGAATATCATGTTCCTGGCATGGTGTATAATGCCTAGGTCATCTCCGTGGTAATCCCCTGACGACTGATCCGCGGACTTGCCTAATACCTCGCTCCTCAGCCTGGGTTCTATAGTGCATCGGATTCTATTCCTAGTGCTAGGGTTCTTTCGGTGGCAGTATAGGAGCACTGCAGCAACAAAGATGCCTGTCACCTAAGTAGATCTAGCAATAGAGATAACATTTGATTATGGTAACAGCGGAAATATATCTTGCAAAGGAAAACAGCTTCAATGAGCATAGTGATACATTCATAACTCATATTTTAACATGGCAGTAGATGAGTTGCCTGAATAAGGAACTACCAGATAAAAGGTGTCTAGTCAGTTAATTCTGACTGCTCTATATTTCAGCATGGATGTGCCACAATATCTAGCATAACAGGCCCTCTTTCTAGTCATCTCTTATAGAACTAAATAATGAAAAGTCTATCAACAGATGGGCTTGTGGTTTAGTGGTATAATACCCCCTTAGCATGGGGGTGGTCCGGGGTTCGATTCCCCGCGAGTCCATTTTTTGCTTTTTCATTGACCTGTCTTGCAACTAGCTTTCCTCAATCTTTCACGTACTCTAAAGAACTGTTGTTATTGTTATTTATAATAATGCCCATTGCATAGAAGTAAATTGCTATACGCCTTGCGAACTCAGCCGAAGATTAAATGCCGTATTCAATACTATTTGCTTGGTTTATGTATACCTGTCCTTTCCCAATGTAAAGTGACAGCTTAAATCGGCCCTCGTTACTTGAAACAGCAGACATAGTGGTATATAAACCCCTGGCCTTCCCCCAGTCATCCACTTGCTGTCATTTCCTGTTTGACCTTGACCTGCGCGGTGGACTTCCGAATTCTACCGTAAGGCTATAAGCGTCTAACTGCTCCAGAGTGTACACTTCGTCTGGAGAGATTTGACGCACATCGGTAACTAGCTTCAGATATTTCTAAGCTCCGGGGATAATGAACAGGACCGTCGACGTTCTAAACACCTAACATTGTTCCACGGTTATCGTATCCAAAGTAGACCTCATCGGAGTACACAGGTCACCTGGACGCGTCCCGTTGCCAAGGTGGACTGTAACTAACCATGTATCAAAGTAACAGCATACCTTACCCATACCACGCCTGTTTTTATTACGAACCAAAATTTCCTTTCATACTCCATACACTTATAATATACCCGCAATCGATTTTAAACCAGTTCTTAACCAGTTTATATTATACAAGAACAAGACATACAACAGCAAGGGCTATAAGCAGTTATAGAGTAGTTAAGAAGCAATTCCTATATCTCACTTGTCATTTGCCGGAGTCTTTCCCGTCTTTCCATAAGTTCTAACTCCTTCTCTTCATTCTTTAGCTGCATATCCCGGACTTCTTCCTCACCTTTTTTAATTTCGATTTCTACCTTTTTAAGCTCATTCTCTTCTCTTTTGAGCCGAAGTTCAATCTCCCTTATTTCGAGAGCTTGCCGTTGTTGCTCAAAAGATAGCGCATTCCTTGACGCAACACGATGCAGGCTTTGGGAAGAAGAAACAGATCTAAGTAGTCAGTAATCAGTTATAAAGCGATTACGAGTGCACATACTGGCGAGACTGTGATTGAGATCGTTGAGGAACTTCTAACTGAGGTGAAGATAAGCGTGTTGAGGATGAGCAGCGGCGTTTTCGAGATTCTGCTCGGTTTATAAGTGGTTAGTAACTACTTATATATAATCAGGGAATGTACATATAGAGATATATACCTTCACGAGACATATGCCTCAAGTAATTGGTCTCCATATTAGCTGTGCGATATGAATGGTGAATACCGAAATCAATATGATTAATGTATTGACTGATATCCTGCTTATCAAGTTTCGCAGAACTATAAGGTGGTTAGGACTTGTTTTGGATCAACTGGTTTTCAATTGCTTGTTAACCAGTTAAAAGACAGTAAGCACTTACTTTTGGATTGCTCCAGTCAGTGTCAGGCGTTTCCCTGTGGCATTTGCTTTATGGTGAGATTGTTCAGCAGAATTAGTATTATTTTGAATAGAATCATAAATGAAAGCCGGAATGTTAGAGCAATTTTTATTTAGCCTAGCTTTAATGATCGGTTGCTTTTTGTGATCAGCCCAGGCCTTGACTTTTGAGTCTTCATGTTCTAACAACTAGTTAGAAAGTATTTTAAAACCAGTTATTAACCACTTACCAGCTAGAAGATTGCATAGTTGGTCATAGTCCTCTTCAGACCTGCAATCAATTAAATTAGCCATACGGCTCTAAACTCCTGTACCTCGAGTAACACTCCTAACAGCTTCAGTAATTGTCCGGAAAAAGTGAACTTGGCAGAATACAATAATCCCTTTGAGTTGCCATAGTATTGGATGATGTTGAGGGTCGATCTCTTGAAGGTACTGTCCAAGACCTTAACTAGTTAGTTATGAAGTACTTCTCAAGCAGTTAATGAATAATCACCTACCAGTATATTGTTTTGAATCCATATCAATAACAATCCCATAGATCCCAGAGGAATGAAGAGAATGGAATTTAACAGACTGACCAGTTACCTTCTGAATTAGAGTAAAGGCTCTTTTAAATAGAAGGTAATAACCTTCTGTCGTTTCTTGGTTGGTAAAAACTCGAAGGAGTGAGATAACTAGGATCAGTTACAAACCAGTTAGTGAGTACTTAATAAATATTTTATAACTACCTGTAAAGTACATGGGAAATTATGAAGACTTACTCTTCCCATGTGAATGAAGATATGTTGCAAAGACAACTTCATTCATTCCTTTTTCTCGAATCCGCTTGTACGACATGTCAACTTCAAAAGAAGTCAACTTCCTCAAGACCTGTATCTGCTCTTTGAAAGCACACAGAATCATTATCCTATGAGGATCATGATACTTTTCCTGGATGTAGTCCTAGAACCAGTTAATAAGTAGTTGCTAAGTGGTTCGAAACCACCTTACCTTTATGAAAGGATGGGTATTATATAAGTAAATAACCCCGTTGAAGTTTTGTCCTGCTGGATATGAAAGAAGACGCTGCTTTTGAATAATTACAGAAATGCGGTCTGTATTTGTGAAAGCTGAATGTACTTCAGCTGGTGTGAGTATACCATATTCTTGACAAAAAGCTTCTAGCTCAGGACTGCGAAGAAATTGAGCTTAACATTAGTTAGAAAGTGTTTCCAAAGCGATTGATAATTGGCTTAGAATCAGTTTAGTCTTACCCAGTGTCAAGCTTGGGTTTCTTATTCTCCTGATTATGTCTTGAATGCCTCGTAGTATAAGCTCTGGCAGCTTATGAGGTGGAGGTGGAGGATGTTGATGAATACCATGCGAAGTAAATAAAATATAAGGAGCTGCCTGGATATTAACTGGCACTAGTGCAGTAAAAATAACACCGCACTTTAGATGTTGTAGTTTACCAGGGCCTTGTATATGATCATAATCTATAACTAGTTAGTAACTGGTTATTAACCAGTAAACAATCAGTTTAGAATCACTCATCACAATACTTTCGTCTTGATGTTAGTGGCTCAATCACACCACAATCCTCTCGAGATGGTAGAATTGAATCATTAAATAATCGTTCCAGAAAGTCAAGATCAATAGTAGTATGACCTTTAACAGAGCTATGATAATGCTTTGAAAGAAAGTTTGGTGATTCATTTACACATCCAATGTACGGATGGTATTCATTGTTCACATCCTATTTGAAGTAGTTAGAAAAGAATTTTGAATTAGTTACTAAGTAGTTGCATATTACTTACAGGATAGAAATGCCTCTTGAACTTTGGCGCGCAGGTTGGAAGTTGTTCAAGGCATGCCTTTTGTCTCTCGAAGAAAATTTTTTTTGAACGATACAGACTATAGGTTTTAGAAAGTGAGTAAGTAGCTAGTAAGTACTCAATAAGTGCTTACCTATACGCATTCCGCTTG